AACATTACCAATTACAAGAACAATTTCGAAAGGAATTGTAATTGGTAAACCTTTGGAATCTGGTGGAAGTGGTTCGAAGCTAAAAGACGTAACTGAAAAATCTGCTTCGAAAGACAAAGGAAATCAATTCTGGTTGAAAAATCTAAAGAAGAAAAGAAGGCTGAAGCTGAAGCTGAACTCGAGAAATGAGGCTTATTCAAAGCATCATGACTCAGAGGGCTGGTGATCCGAAGGGCATGAATAAAGGTGATCCAGCAAAACATTACAACTATGAAACAATCGAAGCCTTGGTTGCCTTTAAATCACATGTACTCATTTGATAAGAAGCCAAAACAGAGTTATGTGGTTACAACACTGATGCATGCCAGTTGGATTTCCCTATAAATGAGATGATGTTCATCATGCCTCATTCAAAGCTGAAGGGAATTTCACAGAAAAGATGAAGGGACTCATATGAAAATTCGTTTTCATGCAGTACTTGGCAAAGCCCCTGAGGATGTTTGGTCACTGATCAAGATCAAGAAGGTGATAAGCATGAAAAAGGATGTGGTCTTTGAAAACAATTGGTTCAAAATGTTAAATATGTTGTGGCCAGGGCAAATGGAAAAACATGCGAATTCACTATTGTAGATTTTCCTCTGATGAACTTGTATGACCTTATACAAGTGGCATTGCTTCTGAAAGACAAATCCTTTCTTTTCTCTGCAAAACACAGATCCATAGGAATTCAAACTTGGAGTTGCTCACATCAAAATCTTCATTGAGAATTATTATGAGTGCCTAGCACTGACTGATGTGGAGTTGGCTACTGCAAAGGGAATGGAAGTAAAAGTTCCAATGGCTCCTTCGTTGACTCAGACTGAGTTAAAGAAATATGCTGATGGAGAAATATGTTTAAAGCCATTTGGAATAGTTTTTGCTGGAAAGGATAAAGCTGGAAAAGCGAAGTGGTTTTTGTTCCAAGCTAGCGAAGTGGAGAGATATTCTACATCTCAATATACGAACTTGATTGTTCGTATGAACCACTGCAAAAAGAACAATGAAGGAGACAAGAAGGAATTGAAGAAAATTATTTCTTGGTATACTGAGGTTCGAAGAGTTTTGTTGTACTCCATTACTCTACTTACAAACTGAAGACTTCAACTTTGATTACAAAGGGGGAGATTGTTAGGGTCGAAATGTTGTAATAGTCGAAGTTTGTATTTAGGGTCTTCGAACATTTTTGTAATGCATTTTACTAGGGCATAATATTCGAAGCTTCATGTTTAGTCCTTAGTATATTTTTTGTACGCTTTTCTCTTCTATAAATAGGAGTGGTTACTAGTGTCTTAGTAACGAAGTCTTTACAGAATATTCATTGTACTCTGTAAAATTTGCAAAAGCGTAATAGAGCCAAACAGATCATATTACATCGGTGTTCAAATCTTTCAATTCTACTTTGAATTTACACTCTAATTCATTCAATACTTGATTCATTGTCTCATCATAATCAAAGTCAGTTGGGGTAGAATGTCCCTGTTTTCCAGGTTTTGGGAACCGGGTGGCTGGACCAGGTGACAGACTGGTAGTCTCAGCAACGGTTGAGGAAATCTTTGTATCCAGATTTAGTGAGGTGTCGCGTTGGATCAGAAGATTTAGGTGAAATGCAAGGGTGGGTCCCTAGATCTCGGGTTATGAGTTTAGACCCGAGTTATGTATATATTGGTGTTCCAATCTAGGGTATTCCATCCCGAGGATGACCGGACCCTATGATCTATTGGACCTGACATGTTTGGTATTCCAGCCCGAGGGTTGATTGGGCCAAACATGTGCATGATAAGAGGGTATTCCATCCTGAGGATGACTGGACCCGTCATAGGCGTGCCTGGTATTCCAGTGTACCGAAGGAGTACGCCCCGGGTACGTCCTCTGTTGTATTTCGAACATGGGCTTCGGGTATTGGGCCATCTGTTGGGCCTTGATGCTTGGGGCCCTAATGGACTAACTGGATACGTGTATTTCGTACTAAGTAGAGGGTCAGACCTTTGGATAAGGCCCAATAAGGAGTTGGGCCCAATTTGGAAAATTGGGCCAAGTATGGGCTTGAAGTGGTTTGGGCCTTTAGATCAAGATTTGGGTTTGGTTTGCTTTGGGTTGTAATGGACCATCTGGGATTTCATGGGTTGGGATTTTGCTTGCTGGATCTTCTTGAGTGAAGGTCATTAGGCCCAATTTAGAAATTAGGCCATAATTTGACTTAAGGAGTTTAGTTTGATATTGTCCCCTTTTGTTATTTAGTTGGGCCTTGGTTTTGAGCCAAGCTTAAGAAAGGGTAAAAAGGTCTTTTACCCTGATTTGGACTCATCGTATGAGTCAGCGGCTAGACATTGATGGATTGTCATTTTGGAATCTGTTAGCACGTGGGTGATAACGGATATGCGGTCAAAGATTATTTATGGAATCAACTATTGATGGAATGTTGTCTCGATGATGGTGGTTCGGGATCTGGCACTCAGCGATCAGGGATCGTCTACGTGCTTCGACAGCGCGAGGTGAGTTGTCCTCACTATACTAAGGGGTCCAAGGCACTAAGGCCGACCCATTGGATTGATATCCTAGTAGTTATTGATATGCTGAGTATAAGTTAGATAGGCATGTTAGTTTGATATGCTAGTCTGGTAGATCTGTAGGACTACTTGTGTTACTATTTTATTATATGTATGTGCAATTAGTGGTATATGTAGACATATTGTGTGGGTAGGGTTAACGTTGCGCTGCTTCGTGCGGTGACCAACAAACCCTGGAGTATGCCAAATATGAGCTGAGGGTCGGGAAGGCATACCAGACTCATACTGAGGACTCGTTAGCATACCAGATACGAGTTGAGGACCGAGTGGTATGCTAGACTCGTATTGAGGGCTTGAGGATATTGGAGCATTCCAGTTGCGAGCTGAGGGCCAGGAGAGCATGCCAGACTCGCACTGAGGGCTGAACAGTTACATTTCAGTCGTAGGGCTGCAGGGGGCAAGCCAGTCATAAGTTGGGGGCGCGAAAGCAAGCCAGACTTATGATGTGGGCTCGGAGGCAAGCTAGATGTGAGTTATGGGCCCGGAAGGCAAGCCAGACTCACACTGTGGGCCCAGGGGGTAATCCAGTCTGTAGAGTTGTGGACCCATTACGTACTCTTATTATGTGTATTATTTGTTATGTATCGGTATTTTGGGGGAATTCACTAAGCTTCGGGCTTACAGTTTCAGTTTTGGTTTCAGGTACCTCAGATGATCGCGGGAAGGCAAAGGCGTGATCGTACAGCTCCTCACATTTTATGACCTTGTTTCTGGGATACTCTGATATGGAACTATTTTGAAAACAAATTTGTAATAACTGTTGGTTTTTGAATGACTCCAAAAGTTTTAATTTGGCATGATTTTTATGGATGTTATACATTTTTTTATCTGATTTCATAAACGAGGAAGAAAAAGATGGAAAAGAAAGAGAAAGAGAGAGAAAGAGTCAGAGAAAGAGAGAGAGAGAGAGAGAGAGAGAGAGGGATATATATATATATATTATATATATATATCTATATATAGAGAGAGAAGAGCGAGAGGATGGTGGGGGGGAATGGAATTTTTTTTTCTTTTTTTTAAACCATCATAATAGCATTAACATACTTCTAGAAAAAGGAAAAAAGAAATCAAAATGGCATAACTGTCTTTTTAAGTTTTTTTGGACTAAAAATCCCAGAAAAACATTGATTTTGGACCTTCCATGCAAATTGAAAACTTTTTGGACCATATCCAAAGTTTTTTGAATAACACAGGGATCAAATTTGCAGTTTTGTCTTTAAATAAATATGATATTTTAAAAGCTTATTAATGATATATATATATATATATATATATATCTATATATATATATATATATATATAGATCTATATAGAGAGAGAGAGAGAGAGGAGAGAGAGAGATAAGATCGGGTGAGAACTCTTTTTAAAGTGAGGACTCGTGAGGATACCTTAAAAAAATTGAAAAAAAATCTTAAAAAATACAAATTTTAAAATGGAGCATAGTACTACATCGGAGAGAAAAAAAAATTTGGATCATTAAAATTGAAGTATGGATCATTTTTATGATCCATGATTCAATTTTTATGATCATCGATTCAATTTTAATGATGCAAAAAAAAATTCCAACTTTTTTTTCTCCCGGATATAGTATTATGCTCGATTTTATGATTTGTATTTTTTTTTAGATTTTTTTTTCAATTTTTAAGGTGTCCTCACTTTAAAAAGAGTCATTTAATACATTTAATTTGTCTAACTTTAAAAACATTATAAAATAACAATAAAAGTTTGTTAACATATTTAATAAATGCCATATTTTATATATTTATTTATTGCTTTAGCTTTTAAGAAGGATTAGAATTAATAAACATCATTTATACATTAAATGCTAATTATTATAATTATTTGAGTTAAATGATTTTTTAATACTTTTTTTTTGAAACCCATGAATATATTAAAAAGACCAACCTCTAGCAAGTGACTGGAGGAGGGGAAATAACAAAGTACAAATATTAATATTTATCTACTAAATCAAAGTAATATAATAACATATTTGGTAATAAACTAATGCAATCGTGCGCTTAAGATATAATGATATATTGTCCACATTGAAGAAAAAAATATTACTCTAATACAAGTATACAACGTCGATCTCTCATTTTTCCAATAAAATATTCCGCACAAATTTTTTGTACTGCTTTTTTTTGTACAACAAAAAGACGATATTTTATAAACAAAATTAGTTAGAGACTGATACTGACTGATGACAAAAGAAGTACAAATGGAAACAAGATGAAAACATACAAAGAGCATCAACAATTACAAAGAGCTGAGTGGCGATATACACCACACCTTCTGATCTATGTTACGGATTTTTGCCCTAAAACTGAACAATTTTTATACTACTACTACGTAATGTACTCTGTTTGTTTGTCTCTAAAAGGTAAAAAAAAACATTTAAAGACTAGAATCAAATGGCACCCCGGTTGAGGGAATCCATAACTCTCCGTCAAAGAACCTCTGAACGGAAAATTGCTCCACCTCACCGGCGGTCGACAAAACATGGTACCCCGGCCACCTTACCCTACCACCGGTGTTTGCACCGTTCCCTGTGTTCATATACTCTGCATAATACAGTTTATCAAATACAGAGTCTGAGTTCCCCTGAAATGGCATCCACCCTAATGAATCGATCAAGCTATCAAGATAACACTTTATAAATATGACCTCGAGTAGTCCTTCCATGGTCGCCCGAGAAAGGTCCTGATTGGCCCCATCCCCGACCCTTGTGCTAGAATCAAGTCAGGGGCCGCAGTGAAATGAGAATTATGCATAACAAATCCCGTTGTCGAACGTGCATCAGTTCTTCCTTGGGCCGTAATTGTGTTTTGTTGTCCAGGCAATGGATTCCGGACATAAATATTGCAATTTTGGAGGACGGCAGCAGCGTCACCAAAAATGAAATCGATGGTCCCGTAGATGTCACACTCGCGATAAAATTGACGGTATTTAAGGAGGCATAGGGTGTCTTGATAGCCTTTAAAGCTACATTTGTAGAAAGCTGATAGATCTGAAGCTGAGAGAAGTGCTATAGCTTGTTGTTTCCTAGGACCCGCGGTGTTCTCAAATGTAATCCCGATTGCCACGAAACCCGAGCCCCAAATTTCTAGATATGAGATTGAGAATCAAATATTAGAAATGAATCTAAATAATGACAAAAGAAAAAAAAGAATAAAAAACTTACGCACGGTTGCAGTGTCGGCAGTTGTGTGTCCGTCTTTACAATTTCTATTGTTGGTTATGACAGATGCATCAATGCCATCGCCAATAAGCGTCAAATTGGTCATGGATTGCTTGATAAAGATGTGTTCTTTGTAAACACCGGATTTGACATGTATAACAAATCTATCTGTTCCGGTTCTTCGATGTTGTGATGCTTTGAGAGCTCTAGTTATCGTTTTAAAATCACCAGAACCATCTTGAGCCACCACCAAGTTTGCCCCGGTTGCTTTTGAGAAGTAAGCAGTTGAGGGTTTGTTATCGGCTAGTAAATCTACAAGTGATTTGGATAAATTTTGTAAGAGGTTTTTCAAATCTTTGAAGCCATTTTGGCATGCTTGGTGGTTAACTAGAGCAACACTTGGCCATTTTTCTACATCGCTTGGGCTCATGTAAGTGTTTGAGTGGTTTATATGGTGTATAGCGTCCTCATAAATCTCTAAGCAATCCATCCAAGCAGTCTTGGCTTGAGCATCAAAGGTGTGTGGTTCATGAGGCGGGAATTTAGGACCAAAGATCGAATTGCATAACTTGGGGAAAAGGCTTTGGTTACAAAATGAGGCATCGGAACAAAAAACCAATGCTAGAAATAAGTGTGTTGCAATGAAATAATAATGTATAAGATATGGTTTTGGCATTTTGAAGATATATTGTAGCGTGAGTTTGGGGGGCTTTGTGCCTATTTATATGAATTTAAGAAAATGTAGCTTTATGTTCTTTGATTCATGCGTTATGGTTTAAATATAAATGCAATTGAAATGACGAAAATTTCCCAAGAGTGGATATGTTTAGTGATAGTGTGGTAAGGCTACAAAGGTAAATGACTCTAGATATTAATTCAATATAGTTAGTTATTTAGTATCATTAATAATATTTGGAAGTATCATAATTAATTGGAAGGTAATATTAGAAATTGCAATAAATGGAAAATGACAAATCTTTTTATTAATAGTGTCTGTCAAAGAAGTTAACATCACATAAATTCTTGGGAATTTATATGTGATTCTTTTAGAACGGTTTTTATATCAAGATAAGTACAAAAGTTGGTTGTGTTTATTAATTATGGAATACTTGGAAATAACATAGTAAATATTATATAAAATATATTGTATTATGGTTAATGTTGTGTAAGGTTAAAGGTTATATTCCCCATGCATGCCAGGAGCATGGAGAGTGTAAGGTTAAAGGTTATATTCCCCATGCATGCCAGGAGCATGGAGAATTTGAGCAAACAGTCAGGCCCGGTCCTGACAGTGGGCAACCCAAACGACCGTCTAATGTCCAGGAATTTAAGGGGCCCAAAATTCTTAGAATTATATAGTATATATTTAAATATAAATTTAATTTATATATATGTATCTTAAAGGGCCCAAGTTAGCCGAACCTCAAATAAACCTAAGGAAGTTGAAATAATGGACTGCTGGAAGTTGGAACACGTGCCAGGAAAATGGAAACTAAGAAAGCATAAGAAACAACTACGGGAATTAGGGTGTCGCCTTTCATGAATCGACAATTATATATAGGCGGGAGCCAAATCGACATCCTCATGAGTCATGAATTCGATAACCAACATCAGGTTGCTTCATGAATTGACATCAAAATACTTCATTACTTTTGGTTCTCTCTTGCTCTTACAAAGTTACAGCCACCAGTTCTCGCAATCTCACCTGCTGCCCTTCCCTTTCTTTACTTCTCACTCTCGAATCTCTACCTTACACATAGTCGACATCTCTCTACTCTTGTCGTCGTTGAACAGGTATAAAAAAAGCTTGATACTTACTTTTCATCTTTGTCTTCTTTGTTATTTTCCACGAGAACACTATGATGATGAGCACAATGTGCAACTTCTAGCAGAATATTCCATCTCTTCCATGCTTCTTTCATTTAAACTGTTATTCAATAGATTTGGTTGTTGATTTGTTGCACTCTTTGAAGGTTTTGCAGGCACCGTAGCTGTCATTAATGACCACATAATCCACTAGAATATCTTACCATGTATTATTATCAATATCACATCATTTTCTCCTTCATTACGATCCAATTCGTTTCTTGATTTTGTTTCTCTTTCAGTTGTTTGATGATCGATGAAATGACTTTTAGGTTTAGATCTTTCATTATTTGTTTGTTGATTTTACAAAGACGAATCTCAATTTTCTTCACTCTTCCATAGAGTACAAAATAAATTTAGAGTTTCAGTACTTGCATTCTACAGTCATTTTCAGGTATAGTGTGAACTATGCAAAAGGCTTATGTAGTCAAGATGGGATTTGTTCATCTTATGTGTTGAGAGTTAGACATCTAAGGCGCCTTACCAAAAGTTGAACAACTAATGAGATTGATCGCGATCCGTATCTCATGTTCAACATGATGTCTGTAGCAAAGGGATAACTGATAAACTTACCTTATACACCAATTGAAGATTTGAGCTTTTTGGGAATTGGGCGTTGATAGAATGGCACAAAGTCGTATGTTGATGGGGGTGGTGAAATGTTGCTAGACGTTCACCACTGTCTATATTAGTCTAATATTAATCTTGCGCAAGTGGAAGATTGAAAGATCTAGTATGCTCAAGAATCATATTAAAGTGATATTGCTAATTAACATATGATACTAATGAGTCACATTAACAACAACTTGATATAATTGATTATTTATTAGAAATTGATTTAATAATTATTCAGTAAACTCTTATAATTAACTTGGAAATTATTTATTTCTAGAAAATAATAATTTTCATTAGCATGTAACATTACATAATTCATATGGTATGAATTAATAAGTCATGTACAACATTTTGGACCATAAAGACTTTTTTTTCTTTTACCAAAAGGTTAAGGTTTATATTTTATAAAAGATTTTATAAAAATTACCAAGTTTGACTTCTTTTATATATGTAAAATTGTGGGCATGCTGAAACATCCCAAAAATACAGACCAAAAATTTCGTTTTTGATTATTAATAAAACCATAGTTATCCAAAACACATGTCATAATATCTCGAACATCATATCAATGTATATCAACATATCAGAGTATAAATATCCCAGACAGAACAAATGGTGTGTGCACTGCAATCATCCCGAGCCCTTCCCCTTGCTATCGGAAGTACCTGAAACCAAAACTGAAAACTGTAAGCACGAAGCTTAGTGAGTCTCCCCAAACTACCACATACCATACACATAACATGCAACTAAGAGATACGGGCCCCGCCGACACTCCGTTTTCTAGGAGATTTGGGCCCCACCCATAATCCACTGTCTAGGAGATTCGGGCCCCGCCCACACTTCACTGTCTAGGAGATTTGGGCCCCGCCCACACTCCGCTGTCTAACATGCATACAAGTATCACACAGACAACAAGTATATCTACTTTTATCAAACAGTCACATAACTATACTCAAATAATACTACGAGATTCGGGCCTCGCCCACACTTGGCTGCTATGAGATTTGGGCCCCGCCCACACTCAGCTACTATCATATCACCTATACGGGCGGGGCTTGGTGTCGTAGACCCGTTCCTACTGAAGGAAACTCACCTCGCAAGGCTGACTGCTGAAAACTCGAGCGATGAATCTCTGACTGCTGCTCGGGCGACTCTCTGACTATAAATTTCATAACAATACTTAATCAAAATCTGATAATCCTTCTTAGGGTAAAATGACCATTTTACCCCTGGTCAAAGTCAACGCTTGGGTCAAAGTCAACCTGCTAGTTGACCCAACTCGTCGAGTTGCTCCATCAACTCGTTGAGTCCTAGATCCCGAAATCGCGATCTAACTCGTCGAGTCTCCCCCTGACTCATCGAGTTTCCAGGCTACTCACAGTCGCTATTTACCGATTTAACTCGTCGAGTCCTGTCACCGACTCGTCGAGTCTTACCTTAAGCTAAAACGGGACAACCCAAATCAACTCGTTGAGTCCCTCTATGGACTCGCCGAGTTCCCTTGTCTGATTGAGCCATCTCAATGGATTAAGCTCCTACCCTTCAGAAACAAACTCCAAACTTCATCTACGCACTGGGAATACACTTTTAAGGGTAAAGTTTCTAACTTTACCCGCTCTTAGTCCTTCTTAATGGGTTTAGCTCAAACCCTAACTTCTCTAGAACATAGATCTTGGTTCACAAGCCATAACACCCTAAACCAAGGCAAACTATACTAGATCTAGGCTCTGAACATCAGTTGGACACGTAAAGTTCCTAGCTTTCCTTCCATGCATGGCCTCTTAGGGCTAAAAAAGGCCATATTTAATGCTTATAAGCTTGCATGGGGCTTCCATGCTCATAAAGTTTGCACATTTATGCCATGGAACCCCTCCTAGATCCCAGATCTGAGATATAAGTCACTTGGGACGTCCAAACCCCAAAGACCAAGGTTCTTGAACCAAAACCCTCATAAAATGGAAGTAAATAGATCTAACAAAAGAATGATCAAGTTAGAGACTTGATTACCAGAAAATGTAGCCAAATAAGTGTAGTTTATGGATCTACTCTCTTCCGCTTAAGCCTTCTAACTCCTTCTTCTTCTTCAAGATTCAAGAACACAAAAGATTGCTTACAAATGGCTCACACACTCAAAAGATGCTCTAGGGTTTCGTGGATTAGGGTTTGGGACAAGTAGGCTGTAAATGAGGCCAACGGCTGGGGATTAAGATGCTTAAATAGGGTGAAAACCCCCAAAATTAGGGTTTCACTCTGCCAGGCCTACTCGCCGAGTCCAGAGCTCTTGACTCGTCGAGTAGGTGGATGAATCCCACGTCCAAGGCTAACTTCTACTCGACGAGTCTGGGGCTTCCAACTCGTCGAGTAGCCTTTCAAACAAGAATAATTTGTAAATAAATGCGTACCAGAGTCCCGGGCATTACACATGCTTCCATGATGCTAGTTATGGGCTTTTACATATAATATATGCAAAATCCCATAACTAGCATCATGGAAGAATGTGTAATGCGTCATATAATAATGAAAAGAATTCTTGGCTTAAAAGCATGGGGAGACAAGTAGGCTTTAGGAGACATTATTGTCTTAAAGTGTTAAGGACTTATGGTCCATAAATTCACTTTATGCATATAAAAGATGAGGCTTGAACTCATTCTTCTAAGCTTGATGCAAATGGCCGAAAGTTATACTCTTCCTCTCATTCTCTCTTAATTAGTTAAGAACACTTGAAGAACACTTGCTTTTACATGCCCTCTTTAAGTTCATATTGGTTATGAACTTAAAGCTTAAGGGTTTAAGAGTTTATGGGCTAGCATCTACATCAAGTTGAGTCATTGTTGGTGTCTCAAAGGTTCCACATTCTTCATCAACTTCCAAGCCTTCCAAGATGACCCAAAGAACAACAAAGGTTGTTATTTCTTCATCCTTTCTTTGGTTGGTATTTTAATCTTTCTATAACTTGCAAGATGATCATTGATGGGTATAAAATGTTTATGTTATGTTCAAAATTTTAAATCTTCCGTTTGCCATAATTTTCTAGTTTTAGAAACTATTTTTGAACTAATACCCAACACATACTTGAATTCATGAGATCAAAAAAAATAGAATTAAAAATGTTGGTTTTTTGGCGGTTCAGAAATGATCATGTTTTTACGAGTAATAATGTTTAGAAAGGATGGAATTGTTGATTCATCAAATGAG